TTAAATATTTTATAAAACAAATAATATATTAAAAAATTTAAACGTTTAAAAATAAACCATAAATATTTTTAAAGAATAGAATTTTTAAAATCAGTTTCGGTTTAAAATTCTCATATTGAGTCGCCTCTTATATATACAGTATATAGATAGATATATATACACATATATATATATCTATATCTATCTATATACTGTATATCTGTATACACACACACACACACACCGAGTAGAAAAGTCATATAAATCTGATCATTTTCCGATCAGGTTACCTTATAAAAGAAATTAGTGCGCCCAACAGATCCAATTTTTCCAGTATGGTTCATGAAACAAATGTTTCCTTCAGTAGCTCCATACAGTTCACACATCTTGATGTTACCAAATCTTGCAATGAATTCCTTCCATACATCACTACGAACACCATTGCCAACAGCCATACGAACCTTGTGATCTTTTTCACCATCTCTCTTAAAAAAAAGGGGGAAAAAATGCAATAAAGCATAGACAGAGAAGTTGTACACAGGACTTTACACTATATAACGTTTTACTGAAATGTAGATGTTTTGTCATTTATATTATAAAAATGTTTTATTGCGTATTCGAATGACAAACTCTAAATTAACATTTTAAATATTACCTACCTCCACTTTCAGAGATCTTCAGTTATTTTAAGTTTGTTATTTATGTTTAGCATACATGATTGGTCTTATAATTTATCACTTTCTCCATTTACTGTACAATATCATATGTTATAAACTTTGATCGAGAACATGAGAACAGTGTTGGCCTTATAATCCATATTTGAGATGACTGGTTTACATTTAATTGTTGGCTTTTTTTGCCAGGATTTGTGTTGCATTAGTTCATAAGGTAAGTCAACCAAAAGTAATATTTTAATTAAAGATGCAGTTACTAGTAGGTTTTGTTTTTTTACTATTAACAGTGAGATCACCCTGCCCTTATTCTCAGTCATTTCTGACCACCTGGGTGTTTTGGTTGATTCTATCCACATTTGAGTTTTCCAGAACCACACTTTTCAAGAACCACCCTTTACAGTTTAGTATTATAAAGTATATTAAAAACCCAACAGGGAGAGTACAGGTGTACAGACCAAATAATTTATGGGTAAGAGATCTTACCAACCGTGCCTCTTGGATATAAAACTCTGTAGTGGTTTAGCTCTTCAGAAGCTGCAAAAACGAAATTAGTATTTTTGGTGATATGCATTGGACCCTGACCTTGATCTTCTTAGAATTTACTTTACCTTGGTGCTTCCTGTACATTGTTGGAGATTACACAGACTCAACTTCTATCTGCCTTCTTGGATCTTGCTAGTTTGATTATAACTAATCTTTACTTTTACTAATTTTGACTTGTGTTTGCATGTTGCAAACTCAAATCTATTATTTCAAATTCCAACCTAATGACACTTTATTACACAAGTTCCTCCTTGTTTGTATATCTTAGAGGCTCTATCATTTGGCTGTGCATGCCACTTGGCAATTATAAAAAGTACAAGCTTAAATAGTAAGATGGATGTACACAAAGTTTTATAGCCCATAGCAAGATTTCATTAATCTATGTAATCAGCACACAAAGGTGCTCTTGGTTTGGCATATTGAATCAATTGCTTGCTACAGTGGAAACCTTTCATCATGACTGTTTATCATCTTACCGTAAAATATTCAATAATGTATCAACAGTACATTGGGTGACTAGGTGGCTTGCTACTTCTCAGGAACATTTAGGCCTGGTATCCTGGCTTTGACTGCCCGAAAGTCGATGAAGTTCTTGACTTTTGGCCAAGCAATAGTGCCAAGATAAATCAGACAATCCACCAGAGTAGTTGACACTATAGCTAAATTTAGAGCAGGGTAAGAGCCTTATGAAATACGTGACAGGCATTGGAACTATTGCTTAAAATAGTATTAAACTCTCAAACATTTTTCCAGTAATGAATCCAGAGAAAACAAATATGCATTGCCCAGAAAAGTATTTCTTACACTTACAGTCAGGGCCGGATTTACTCTCTCTGCTGCCTGAATGCCAGGTTCCTCAATGCGCCCCCTGTATGCAGGCTGCATACAGATGATCACGGTGACATCGCCGAGATCACTTGTACAAGATAAGCGGCAGCTTCCCTATTGTACATTTAGCCCTGCTTGCCCAAAGTAGGGCTAAATGTAGAAGATTACCTGCCCGGAACTGCATGTCCTGGGCGTCGGGAGATAGGAATTCCACACCCCTGCTGCCCCTCTACTCCCTGCTGCCCGAGGCCAGGCCTCGGTTGGCCTTGTGGGAAATCCGGCCCTGCTTACAGTCATTATATTTTCAAACGGCTGATTCCAACTCCCTCAGCTCCACTTGCCTGAACTTCCTGTCAAGATCAAAAGAAAGAGCACAGTTCCAGCAGCTGTCCATCTACTGGAAAAGAGTGAAGGGAGGAGTGAGGAGCAGAGGAGCTGCTTGCATTGCTGTGCCGGTATGTTTGTTGAGACACACACAGGTTACTAGCACACACAAGAGTTGCTCCATAGGACCCTTCAAGGGAAGGGAGTCGCCCTAAAACAGGATATCAGGGCCAGTGCTGAGGAATGCAGGAAGCAGGTAGGTAAGGGAATGCATACAAACAGGAGCTGGATTGTAGAAACTCTCAGGCAACACACAAGTGCAGCCGTCTCAGATCAACTCACAGTTCACTGATAAATGCTATAGCAGGTCTCTGGCAATATTCACAAGACCACACTTGGAATTACAAGGAACACTGGAAACTGCAGAATTGGTAGAACAAGGATCTACAGGGATACTCAGGAAGCACAGCGATACTCTAAAAACAGGAAGAGAGTAAACAAGGTACACAGGGGGTCAGGTGGTTAGTCAAATGACATGTTGCTCAAACCCCAAGAAACAGGTGAACTAGCTCTATAAGGGAGAGACCGAGAGTAGATTCGCTGCCGACCTGCGACTTGCAATAGGCTGGAAGCTAAGCACCTAGGACAGAAACATGGCGCATGTAAATGTGACATCAAGGAGCAGCATCCTAAGTGATTTCATCAGCAATTGAAATAGGATAAAAATCTTTTGACTTTAATACCACTATACGGCTCATTTGTGCAAAGTACCTATATGAAGACTATGTACTAGACGTGTGCGATTCGTGTCGTTCCGAATCGAAATTCG